TATTCCGGCAGGTATCAAGTAATCACAAAGATACACAATGTGATACCCATTGTGATATACTGTGATACCACTGTTTATACCAACTATGATACCAACTCAAACCATAAAAACAAAATCAAATCCATTGTGATACACTTTGATTTGATACAGTTCACAACTTTTTCCCACAGAGAAGGAGTGGGACATCTTCGGAGTTACATTTCCGACGAGATCTGGTTTACATCTCCGACGTAGGGTTTCATCTCACCGGTGAAAATGGACGGCGATAACGCCAAACCACATATATCGCCAACGATTCAACTGGAGACGATGAGTTTATCGGAAGACATTGAGAAGGAAGAGGAAGCGAGTAACGAGGAATTAAGTGTACGTTCGATCCATACATCGGTGAGCTTCCGTTCTCGTCCTTGGTGGCGAACGGCGTTACCACCACTCCCCAGAGCGCGCCCAAAGTATCCCAACTGGTCTGCGTCCGCCGGAAACCGACTCACCGTTGGAGTTGTTGATCTCTGCAGAATTGTTGTCGGCGTTCGTGCTTCTCAGAACAGGCTTTCGAATATGCAAATGGCGTTGGAGAAACAGTCGTCGACCAAATATAATAGTTTCGAGTCTAGTGATTATAAAGGAGAAGATGAGATGGTTGTGGAAGGGGAGGAAACCGCCAATGAAGAAGTAGATGGGGGTGATCAGGGTGGCTGGAGAAGAAGTAGATGAAGGAGAAGAGTACCATCTAGGGTTTTATGTATATAAATATTACCAATTTACCTTTTATGTTATTTTAGGATATAACACTAATTATTTAAATGATTGGCTCACATTCGACTTCACAGTTACCACAAACTAATTAATTCTCATTTAATTAGTTCCCTATATATATATATATATATATATACTTATAATAAATAAGTAACTTAGATGACACATGTCATCTTCTGGTGAGTCGGTTTTCTTGTTTTCCCGTCTAAACACGTATTTAGACACAATTTACATTAGTGGTTCAATTAGACTCATTTGAACGTATCTAGACACAATTTACATTAATAGTTCAATTATACTCATTTGATTGACATATGTTCTCTTATTCAATCATTTTTAAATTCAAGTCTGAATAATTATTTTTCAGAGTTATTTCAAGAGTACAAGTCTGAAGTAATCATATTTTCGATGATCATTCATATCTATAAGATAAGTTCCTGACATTATTTATTTTTTCAAATAACCCAGTGTAACACACGGGATCGAACCTAATAGATAAATATATGTGTTTAATCAATTTAAATAAGAAAAGGACAAAAGATAAAAACAACAAAAAAATAAAAAAGATAAAACCAACAAAAAAATAAAAAAGATAAAAATATAAAATGATTAAATAGAAGTTAGGGGTGTCATTGCTAAAGGTTAGGTCAAAGTAGAAGAAATAGTCAAAGAGCATAACATTGCATTACCTGCCTCTTTCTAATTAACTTTTCCTCCTCCACATTTAATTCAATCAAATATCTTATACCATAAGAATGGGTGTTGCATGAATCTGGTCCCAATTTGTTCTCTCAAATTATTATATCTAAATAAACTGATTGTTTCATGAATCTGGTCCCAATTGTGGCCAATTTCTTCATTCAAATTTTATATAAATAAACTCATTGAGATTCACATTCCAATTAATTCTGAAAATAAAAATTAAACTGAAAAACATAGTTAGGAATCACGTTATTTTCCGGCCTAACAATAGAACTCTGAATTCTTGTATTATAAAGTTAATATTCAGAGTTTTCTTGTTTTCTTTTAAACCTGAGAAAAAGTAACTTATTTTTCCTCATTTAAAAATTTAAAATACCCCGTCCAGTACAGGAGATCAAAGCTTAGTTATTCTAATAAATAAAAACCACCATTCTTATAAACCATGATTTTCACATATGAAAATTGAAGCAACAGCATGTTTCCTTTATTACTTAGCAAATGGCAATGCATTGATTCATAGTTATACAATCACCATAACCATAGCCATAGCGCATAGGATATATAGGCCCTTCCTCCTTTTAACATTTTACCCAAAACACCAATAAGATCAAATCTTATGTAAAATTACAAAAAAAAAAAAAAAAAGCTCACATTTTATATCTTTGTAGCCAACAGAGGCACCATGCATATATTATGTTATGAATCAAGCCTTCTCCCACTTGAGTTCCTTCACCACCTCCCAGGTGAAATCAGGGTCTGTCCTCCCAAAGTGTCCATATGCCGCTGTCTTCAAGAATCTCCCATTCCCACCCCTCTTAAGATCCAGATTGATGGAGATCATTCCTGGCCTGAAATCAAAGTTCTCCTTCACAATCTTAAGGATTTCCCTATCAGGGATCTTTCCGGTTCCATACGTGTCCACAAAAACAGACAACGGCTCAGGGACACCGATAGCGTAAGACACTTGCACAATGGCTCTCCTGGCTAGCCCACAAGCCACAATGCTCTTGGCTGCTTGCCTCACAATGTAGGCACCACTCCTGTCCACCTTGGTGGGGTCTTTCCCGGAGAAAGCACCACCACCATGAGCACCCCAACCACCGTAGGTATCAATGATGATCTTACGCCCGGTCAGTCCAGCATCACCATGAGGTCCACCAATCACGAAACGGCCAGATGGGTTAAGATGGAAGATGGTCTTCTCGTCAAGGTAATTGGCAGGAACGACCGGCTTGATCACATGCTCCTTAAGATCTGCTGCAATCTCGTCGTTGGTTACGGTTTCATCATGTTGGGTGGAAATGAGGATGGTGTGGACACGGAGAGGGACCATGGCTCCGTTATCGTTGTGGTACTCGACTGTGACTTGTGTTTTTCCATCAGGCCTGAGCCATGCACAAGTGCCATTTTTGCGAACTTCGGTCAAACGGGCCCCAAGCTTGGTTGCAAGGACATGGCTGAGGGGCATCAATTCAGGGGTCTCATCGGTGGCATAACCAAACATGTGACCTTGGTCACCGGCACCAATATCCTCAGGCTTCTTGGTCAAATGACCATGGACACCCTGGGCAATATCAGGGCTCTGTTGCTCGATGTTGACAAGGACCTTGCAGTTGTCTGCATCCAAACCTACGTCATCAGAAACAAACCCTATCTCGCGGCAGGTATCACGCACAATCTTCTCATAATCAACATTAGCTTTGGTGGTGATTTCACCAAAAACCATGACCATGTTGGTTTTGGTGCAAGTTTCACAAGCAACCTTGCTGTCAGGGTCCTGAGCTAAGCAGGCATCAAGAACTGCATCAGAGATCTGATCACAGAGCTTGTCAGGGTGTCCCTCGTTGACAGATTCAGATGTGAACAAGAAGGTCTCCATTATTGCAAAGCTGAAATTCAATAAAGAAAATTGTTTAGTTTCTCCCACTAAAATAGCACAAAAAACCAGTAGATCAGGTTCAACACTACATGCAAGTTACGGTGAACAAAACCTTCAGTTGAAAATTAAAAAAAAAGGAAATTGAAATAGATGTAAACTCAAACCCTAAAAAGAGCACAAATCGTAGGTAAGTAGGTAACACATATCTAATAGATCCATGACTCAAACAACAAATATCAGCATATCGACGGTTCCCAAAATCAAGGCGTGAGTGGCGTGACGCAAGGGTGATAGATCCGTTACTAAAGCACCAACTTGATGTTAAAACTAGCATAGCATATTACGAATGAACTCCAGATCTGACCAAATTGGGAACAGATCTTCTGACCAAATCAATTTCAACCTAAAATCAACAGTTCTTCCACAACTTGGAGTCCATATCATATCAATTTTAGACCTAATTCAAACTCTATGGAATAAATATCAACAAAAAGCAGACACTTGATAGGAATCTTATCATTTTACTAGAAAAAGAAAAGGTAATCCGGGAGTATCAAGGTAAGCACATAATCCATGGCCAAAAGTGTTGGAAGAAAATCAGAAATCCATCACAAACCGACAAAGTTCAAACATTTGCCCTAGAATTTTTGAACCACCGCCAACCGTAGTTCCGGCATGGCGGTTACGTCGGCCGTAGACGGAGGAAGAAAGAAACAGAATAGTCCAAATACCTTGTGAAGAGTAGAAGGAGAGGGTGAAAGCTGGTGAACGACCTTCTTCCTCTTCTGAAAGCAAAGGAGCTAAGGGCGAGGAGTAAAGGTTATGGGGGTGATGCTTATATAGGCGAGAGTGGAGGTGTAAGATGAAACGTACGTGCCAGATTCATTCTGTGCGTTGGTGGAATCTTAGATCAACCATTCCTCAGATCAAATCTGCACCGTTGGTTTTTTGTTTTCATGTTTAGAAAGGAGTTGGTGAATGAAAATGATGTGGCTTTTTTATTCTCTTTAATTAGAAATCATGTTTTATTAAAAATATAATTATATTTATCGGAATTCTAATTTTGTTTGTTATTTGATTCGATCCTTTTTCGTCTTAACACGTATTTTTGGTGATTTTTCAAGATTTTATTACCAAATTTGAAAATATCATTTATTAGTGCATGCATTTGGTACATTGGAGATGATATAATATAATATAATATAATATAATAGAGATTTTTGTTTTTTGTTTGGCAGGATTTTTATGAGGCGTTTGATTCGTGGATTCTAAAAGAATCTGATGGAATTGAAATGTTGAATTCTACTGACCAAATTTTATTCTCTCATTTGGGTTTATTCTTTTTCACGAAAAGAATCTTCAAAATCCTATAAATTCCACAAATAAAGAAATTTAACATTCTTTAGCAACTACATGGTATTTTGATGAAATGAAATTATCTATTTTCATAATATCAAATATGTCCTTAACTTAATATACTCTAATCTCATAAAAACCAATATGACCACCTTCGACCATTGTCGATCTGAATCACCGCCGACCATTACCATTGAACCATCGTCGACCATCGTTATCTGAACCACCGCCGACCACTACCGATCTGAACCAATGTTGGCCACCGTCGTTTTGAATCACCACCGATTTGATCCACCATCGATCTGAACCACCGCCATTTGAACCACAATGGACCACCATCGATCTGAACCACTGTCAACTACTAGCAATCTGAATCATCGTCGATCTGAACCATCGCTGCCGCCACTGATCTGAACCACCGCTGACCACCTTCATCTGAACCACTGCGGACCACCTTCATCTGAACCATCGCGGACCACCATCGATTTGAACCACTGCGGACCACCGTCATCTAAACCACCGATCACCGTTGATTTAGTAACGTTGTTTGGTTTATGGTTATATTTTGGTTGTGTATTTTATATTGTTTTACATATTAAATAATTATTTTATTAAAGCATTTTTAGTTTTAAAAAAATTAAAATTTTCAAAAAAGACATTTTGGTCATTTACTAATATTTCATTCCAATTCCAAAGTTACATTTTGTGAACCAAACAAACAAATTCTAATTCCCTAACAGATTTCATTACAATGTCTACCAACCAAACAGATAGTCAAACCTAACAACATTTCATTTCAATTTCTTTAAAGTCAGATTCCTTTAACATATTTAATTTCATTCAAAAATATTATGCGAACCGAACGTCACCTTATCTGTAGCAGACAAAAATAAAGTGGAACATGGTTGTTCCACCCCTACATCATGGAACAAAGTAGAACAAAGTGAAACACACTTATATTTTACTAATATAACATCAAAATAAAACTTAATTATTTTCTAAAACATCAATTAGGTCTCATTTTTTACATTTTATTTATTCTTTAAATTTTATTTATCGTATTTTATGTTTTTTAAACTTTCATTTTACTGACCTCAACATATTATGTTTATACTTTTTTTATTTTTATTAATTTATGTAAATTATTATATATCACTAATAAAAAATAATAACGAAAAAGGATAATATAAAAATTGGAAACTACATAAACTTTTTATGTTGGTGTTTTAGTTGTTTTGATGAAAACTTTTTAATGATATATTATGTTATAAAAACAATTATTTCATTATAATTTAACAAATTACATAAATTAATCTAAATATATAAACAACTCATTATAGATAAACTGGTCATTTTACTTCTTCTGATCTGTCTAATTTGGTTTTAGCAAACACTGAACAATTGTATTTTGTTCTGTCCTATCCTACTTTATCTAAGCATCAAATACATCCTTATTTATTGATATTGAATTTTATCATGCCTAATAATCCCATTTCGAGAAATAATTGCCTTTGTTAAAACAATGTAATAAATATGAATTATGGTAATTTTTAATGTTAAGATGGAATATAACATTAATGATCTTTAAAGTCTAATATTATGAATAAATATATAGAAATATAGAGATATATTCTATATTTTAGTATTAAGAACAAAATGGGTTCTTTCGTTGGATGGTATTCTTTCAGTTAGAAATTTGAGGTCTCTAATACATACGAAAATTCTTGGTGGGGTACAAAGAGGGGGTCTTTCTTTGGTGTAATTGTTAGAAAATACTGCAAAAAATGAAAGATAAATAGATTAGGATGTGATTCCTTAGAATAATATCAGCTCCTACTAGTATGTTGTTGGGTTAAAGGCTAATTTATCCCAGGACTAACCTAATCTAGATGAATGATACAACCAATCAATTCATCTCCATGAACATCCATTTTGTTGCAGAAAATTGAAGAGGAGAAAAGAGAGAATTCAATCAATTTCTACCAACATATTAGACATATATATATATATATATATATATATATATATATAGGTATGGTGGATAACGGAAAACCTGTCGGCAAAACTTATCCACAATGGATAAGATTTTAAATCAAATAAAGAAAACTGTTAACATATAAGAAACCGACTGCGACCAAATCCACACCAAACACTGTATGTAAAACAAAAAAAAACGTATTTAGGGAAACCCGAATACGCGCAATGTGCTGGTGTTGTCTTTTGATCTATTAATATTCTCCATATCAATCCAAACCAAGTAGAAAATCAAGCCCAAATCCTATTAACCAAGTATTATTTATTTGATAAAACAAATAGAATAGGATTTATAAACCACTCTTATTTTAACTCTTCTTCCTATGTGGGACATGATTCCAACTATTGAAGACTACTTCCAACAGTAATTAGGGCCGACAACGGATAGGATATGGTAGGGTAAGTGTTATTCTCTTACGTATCTATTTAAAATAGCGGGTACCAAACGGGTAATTATCTATCTCACAAATCTTTTATCCATATCTTATCCTAGTCGTAAAATTAGCAGGCATTGAAACAGATAATGGATAAATGGTAAAATAAAATTTCATTTTTAACTACAAATAATATTATTAAACCCCAAACACATAATGATAAAACATAAGTTCATAAATATAGTAATTATTTTATATTTAATTTGTTCTAGTAATTTAAATACAATCTATACTTATAATAAATAAGTAACTTTGCTGACACGTGTCATCTTCTGGTGAGTCGGTTTTCTTGTTTTTTCGCCTAAACATGTATCTAGACACAATTTACATTAGTGGTTCAATTAGACTCATTTGAACGTATCTAGACACAATTTACATTAACAGTTCTATGACACTCATTTGATTGACATGTGTCCTCTTATTCAATTAATCCCACTAATTTAGAATGCAATTGATTTTATTTTTAGGTTAATTAATTCGTGTGGTAACTAATTCCCCAAAAAAATGGTGTTTACTTCTAAGTTTAAATTCAATTTACTGATATAGTTTCATTTCTAAATTCAATTTTATTCTAGGATTAACTTCATTTTATTCTAAATTCAATTTACTGAAAAGTTTTACTTCAAAGTTATTTTAAGAGACCAAGTCTGAAGTCATTCTTCAGAGTTAGCTCAACCGAACTCTAAAGTTTGCTTTTTCAGACATAGCTCACCCGAACTCTGAACTCCGAAGTATTATTTTTCAGACTTAGAAGTCTGAACTCTGAAGTCTTCTTTTTAGACTTAGAAAAATAAGTCTGAAGTCTTCTTTTTCATACTTATAAGTTTGAACTCTGAAGTCTTCTACAATCTGAAGAGTATAAGTCTGAAGAGTCATTTTTCAGAGTTAGTTCACCCGAATTCTGAAGTCTTCTTTTTCAGACTTAGCTCACCCGAACTCTGAAATCTGAACTCTGAAGTCTTTTTTTTTTCAGACTTAGAAGTCGAAGCTCTGATTTAATGGGATTGATTTTATACTTCAGAGTTAGGTCAAGAGTACAAGTCTGAATAGTCATTCTTTAAAGTTTTATTTCAGAGTTATTTTCAGAGTACAAGTTTGAAGAGTCATTCTTCAGAATTAGCTCACCCGAACTCTGTAGTCTTCTTTTCCAGACAGAGTACCATGCAGAGCCTCTACATAGTGCATGCAAAGCTTATGGCTTGCCTATACAGAGTTTTGAAGTCTGAAGAGTTTTACTTCAGAGTAATTTCAAGATTACAAGTTTTGTAATAAACTTATCTAGACCTTGAAGATAAGTATTTGAGACTTAAACTTAGTCTTGTAAGCCAGAGCCCCTCTGGTTGATTTGACTTCTGATTGTTTATTTGAACTTTAGAAAAATATTCCAATCCATCATAAAGAACCAGAGGGTCTCTAGTTGATCTTCATGTTTAACCAGAGGGTCTCTGGTTGTAATTGGAACTCAAATTCTTTAAATATTTAACATTTTTTTGACCCAAAGGCTCTAGATAGACGAACCAGAGGCTCTGGTTGACAAGAGGGGCTCTGGTTGACCAAAGGGCCTTTGGTTGGCCTTGTTTTTGGTTGGTGAGTCCACAAGGGCTCTGATCCTTAAGGACCAAAGGAGCTATGGTTGGTTTTGTTGTGTATGATGCAAACTTTACCATGTGGTCTTTTTCAAAAATATTGGGTATTTGAATAACTCTAAACTCAAGGTCTTCAGACTTGGTCTTCAGATTTGACACAAGCGCTCTTCTAAGTTTAAATTCGATTTATTGATATAGTTTTATTTCTAAATTCAATTTTATTCTAGGGTTAAATTCATTTTAACTAATTATTGATATAGTTTCATTTCTAAATTCAAGTCTGAAAAATCATCCTTTAGAGTTATTCTTCAGAGTTATTTCAATAGTATAAGTCTAAAGTTATTCTTTACAGTTTTACTTCACAGTTATTTCAAGAGTACAAGTCTGAAGTCATTCTTCA